GTTCAATAACCCTTCTTCAATCAGGTACTCAAACACCAATACACTGTGGTCGCTCATTCCTACTGGGTCCTCAAAACTGATTTCTCTTATGTCAGAGTCGTTCAGGGTGAAAACCAGGTCGAGTCTCGCTGGTTTGTCATTTCCTCTCATCCTTGTGGGTTCACTGACATGCTGGGTTAAGAAGTTTCTAGTCGCCACCTCCAGTAGTTTGGCTCTCCACGTATCCTCGCCTCCATGCAGTTCCTTGTTCTCCCAATCAATCCTGCCGTGATTGAAGTCCCCCCATGATGAGCAGGTGGGATCTATTTCTACAGGCAGAAGAGGCTGCCGTCTCAATTATAGTGTTAGCTGCCATGTTGTTGCTTTCGTACTCTTGACTGGGTCTTCTGTCATTTGGTGGAGGATTATATATTACTGCTACTACTATCCTTGGTCCTCCCATTGTCATGGTGCCTGCTATGTAGTCTCTGAAACCCTCACAGCCCGGGATAGCCATCTCCTTAAAATTCCATTCCTTTCTCATGAGTAGGGCCGCCACTCCTCCTCCTCTACCTTCCCTCTCTTTCCTTATTATTGTGTACTCCTGGAGAAACACGGGATTCGTTATGATTCCAGAGAGTTTTGTTTCAGTGAGTCCAATTACATCTGGGTTCACTTCTTGTGCTCTTTCACTTAGTTCACTTGCCTTGCTTGTGATCCCATCTATGTTCGAGTACATTGCCCTGAAACTAACTCTCTTCTGCTTCTCCTCTGTGGGGGATCTGTGTTAGGGGGGGGGATGGGGGAGAAAGGGGGGTTTGGGGGGGGCAATAAAGTGGGGAGGGCTTGGGGATGGTGGGGGGAAAGGGAAGGCTGAGGTGGTTGAGGAAGAGCGGAGGGTTTTGGGGAGTGGTGGAGAGGGGAAGGCTTAGGTGGGGTGGGGGAGAGTGGGGAGCTTAGGGGGGTGGGGGAGAATGGAGGGCTTGTGGGTGGGAGGGATGGAAGGGCATGTGGGAGAAGGGAGGGCTTGGGGGACGGGGGAGTGGGAGGAGGGGGGTGAGTGGGAGGAGAGGGGTGGGTGGGGGGAGGGTGCCTTAGGTGGGTACTTAGTGGGGGGCTGACAGGGGTTGGGGCAGGTAGGGTGTCTGTTGGGTGGAATGTGGGGGTGGTGCCACACTCCCTGTGGCTAATGCACTGTTTAAGGAGGGTTCCCCATTCCCCTCTGGGATTGTAAGGATCGGGGGTGTGGCTCCGTGATTCCTTTCTCTCTCCCTGCGCTCCTTCCTCGCGTCTGCTGCCTGCATTCTCTCTTCCCTTGTCATATCCCTCTACAAGAATACTCTTTTGAACTTCACTACACCTACTAGACAGCACTTCCTTTCTAATAGTTCTTCTTTCGCGATTTCGCTCATGAAAACCACCTTTATCATTCGGTCTCTGTCCTTGTTGTACTTTCCAAGCCTGAAAACCTTTTCAACATTTTGCTCAGCTCCCTCCATCCTTACCTCTTTAAGGATCTCTTTAATCATGTTTTTGTCCTTGTCTCTCCGCTCCTTTGGTCTGGTCCCTGTTTGCTCTTTAATGCCTGCTACTACTACTGCTCTATTTCTCTCTATCAGCGGGCTAGTACATCTAGACGCTTCCTGAGAGGAAGCCACTTGCATGGCAACTTCCTTAACTGCAGACCTAGCTTCAGGGCTCGTTTTAAGTATTTCAGCAAATGAGAGCTGAGGTGTAGAGGTCCCCTCCACAGTAGCATTCCTGTCTCCCTGAGGCACGTTTGTGTCTGGTATTGTGGAGAAGTCTCCTTCAGGCATCTTATCTCCTCCTTTGCTGCCCTTAGTTCATCCTGCAGGTTGGCAACTGTTTCCCTCATTACCCTCAGTCCTTCACTGAATTCATCCCACATTTGCTGGAATACTCCACCACGTACCATAGTGGAGGTGGGGTCCCTTGATTGTTTCAAGCGTGGGTTGGACTTTGAGTGGGATGGTTATAAATATGAGCTGCCTCCAACCCGTTCTCGCAAATTTAATAAGTCAATATTGACTTATTAAATATGTGCATAGGTGACATAACACAATAGTTTCCCTTGAAAAGTTTCATAGAAAACACCGACCTTACCTAACCTACTTAGTATGTTAAGATAAGCATCTTATTGCTTTGTAATTACAATTATTACCTAACCTATAATAGGTATAGGTTAAGTAATAATTGTAATTACGAAGCAATAAGTTGCTTATCTTAAGATACTAACAAGGTTAGGTAAGGTCGGTGTTTTCTATGAATCTTTTTAAGGGTATCTATTATGTTCAGTATATCACCTATGCACGTAGTTAATAAGTCAATATTGACTTTACGAATTTGCGAGAACGGGTTGCTGCCTCGTATGGGCCAATAGGCCTTCTGTAGTTACCTTTATCCATATGTTCTTATGTCTGTGAGATTCATGTGTGTTGGGTTTGGGGCTTCTTGTTCTGTTACTTTGTAATTTTGTTGTAGGTCTGTTTATTTGTCTATTTTTATTGTATTTTTGTAGCATGCTTTTGCATGTAAATATATATATATATATAAAAATACGGTTGCACATTTCATTACAATGAGGTCTCTGAAGTGGTAACCGAGATGTGGCTTACACCAACCACGTTTTAAGTAATATGCGTCTTGTCTGAAGGACAAACTTTTAAGTTCGATCTCCATGGAAAATGGGATCTGTGTGATAGCGTGGAGTGCAGAGCGGGACGAGTGTGTGGCGAGTCAAGGATCTGTTATTATATAGAACAGATCCTTGATATACACGACGAGATCCTATTATATAGGCTTCGGCACAGATTATACTGTGCCCTGCGCTCCCTTTTTCGGCCGGTCGGAGCCGGGTCTTGGTTGCTACGGCTGATCCCTGGAGGTCTCTGTCTGCGGCCAGGAGCACACCGTGATGTGCGATCACCGGATCTTGTGGCAGAAGTCACCTTGAGCGCATGATACTCTAGGATCCTTATCGCATTTTGGCCGTTACCTGAAAACAAGTTGGAGATTGCTTCATCACGGAAATCCTCGCCCCACCCACTATCTGGCTTTCCGGGATCTAAGGAAGCCAAGAATTCCACAATAGTGCTCCTCCAGGCATCCCCCGGGTTCTGCCAGGGTGAGGGGGTGGAGGGTTCCATTGGCTCCAAGGTCCCTCACCGCCAAAGACTCGTCACCACCCCCCCCCCCACTACTCCTCGATGGGCTAGGCAGAGTTTCCTCCTCACTGGACGACTCCGATGAGGACTGCTCCACAGTCCTGCTATATAATAAGAACAGAACTTTGGCAGCAATTACCTACAGGAAAAAGGTTATCATGTATAACCAAACTCAATTACGGGCTCACCATAGCCCGTGCTACATGGACACTTCGTCCTGAGTAGCTAAAGCTTTAACAACAACATTCGGCAGTGGCGCATGTCCGCTCCGGAGACTGGAGGGTTACACCCTCCGAGGTGGAGCCTAATCGCCCCTTTGAGTTCTGGGGAAACCTTTTTTCCAGGCCTCGCCGCCGGACAACCGGCCTATTGAGCGCGGCTCTGGTCCTGCCGTTCAGCAATTGTTAGAGCCCATATCACATATGGAGGTCCAGATCGCTCTACGGACAAGTAAGGTCTCTGCACTCGATCCTGACGGGGTAACTATGCGTCTCCTCAGGTCCATACCGCTCAGGGTGCTCACTAAACTGTTCAATCTGTGGCTAGCTAGCCGTTCCCTACCACGTCCTTTCCGTGCATGCAAAACGATGCCGATACCCAAAATTCCTAGCCCAGAAACCCCCTCACACTATCGCCCAATTACAATGTCTTCTACAATAGTGTGGCTGTTCCATAAGATCGTGAACAGCCGAGTTTCTCGAGCAATCAGGATCGACGGGAGGCAGAAGGCATTCATCCCTGTGGATGGATGTGCTGAAAACCTGGCGATCCTAGATGCTCTTCTGGCTGAGGCACGTGTGCTGAAACATCCGGCGCACCTTGAGTTCCTTGACATGGTGAAGGCATTCGATAGTGTCGACCATGCGGCCATAGATCGTGCCATGGAGCGCAAGGAAGTCCCTAAGCCTCTTAGGGACTATATTATGTCACGCTATGATGGCACCTCGACTGTCATATCCAGCCAGAAGGAGAAATCGAGGGTAATCCCTGTGACTAGAGGAGTTAAACAGGGAGATCCCTTGTCCCCATTTCTTTTCAATTTGGTGATTGATGAGGCAATCACCAATGCGAAGAAACTGGAGCTGGGGATTCGTCTGGGGGAGGAAAAGGTGTCAGTACTAGCGTTTGCTGACGATTTGGTCGTGGCAGCGGAGACGCCGGCCGGCCTTCAGGCGTTGATAGACGTTACATGTGACACCTTGAGTGGCAGTGGCCTGAGGGTCAACGCGGGAAAGTGCCGTTCACTGAGCCTGCAGATCGATGGAAAATCCAAGAAGTGGTATCTCGCGTCGCAAACGAGATTCCACTGCAGGGGCGCAGCCATGGATTCTATTGGCATCAGTGACGAGTATAAGTACCTAGGTATTCTCGTTGGTGCCGATGGCAGGGGCCTTTCCTATGGCTATGTTTGAGGAGGGGATTATTAACATCATGCACGCCCCCCTCAAACCGCAGCAGAGGTTATACGTGCTGAAGCACCACCTTATTCCTAAAATGAACCATCGTCTGATTCTAGGTACGGTGTTTAAGACTCGGCTAGCTAGAATCGACCGGAGGATGAGGCAGGCTATTCGCAGCTGGCCCAGTCTTCCGCACGACATCCCGAATGCATTCTTCTACGCCGACTGGAAGGACGGTGGTCTTGGGATGCCCTAATTTGTTTCGTCAATCCGGCTGCACAAGAACAAGCGTTTCAGCAGTCTGTTGGAGTCGGCTGACCCAACGGTTCGGGCAGCGACCCTTCTACCGGCTATTCAGGAAAAGATGCGTTGGTGGATCGGCACCGGCCTTGATTGGGGGTGAGCCGGTAACCAACAGAGCCGAGTGCTTTCTGACATGGCGGGAGCGGCTTTACCTCACGGCCGATGGTGCTGGACTGAGGTCCTCGTGCCAGAGATGGATCTCGTCCGGCACCCACCTACTGAGCGGTGGTGAGTTTGCTCACGCTGTCCAAGTGAGAGCTAACGCTTTGGCCACGCCGTGAAGAGCCGCTAGGGGTCGCCCAGGTGCCAGCGGCATGTGTGATGCATGCAGGAAACCTGGCACCCTTGGGCACATCTTACAAGCATGCCCAATGACGCATGAAGCACAGGTGGTACATCATGACGATATCACCCGGTTCGTAGCTGGTCATCTGAGACAGTGAGGGTATGAGGAGGCGAGGGAGGTGCGGATACCCGATGGTGGGACCTTTTGCAAGCCAGACATCATTGCTTGCAAAAGCAGCGAGGCGGTAATTCTAGACACCCAGGTCTCGGCTGACTGCTTTCCAATCTCCCGGCCACACCACAACAAATGTGACCGGTTCGGCACCCGAGATCCTTTAGTCAGGGATTACACCGGTGCTAATGCAGTCTCTGCCTCCTCAATTACCTTGAATTAGAGAGGCGGGTTCAGCAATGAGAGTGCCCGTGTTCTTAAGAGGTTGGGCTTGACTAACAGAGATTTGGAGATCTGCTCCGTCAAAGCCCTAACCTGGACGTACTCGATTGATCGTATATGGTCCAAGAGCACGGGAAGGGGTTGATAATGATCACCCTTGGACATGGGCATGGGTGGACTTCCCTTGTGCCCCGACACCCAGAAGCGACTAGGGTGAGTGGATTCTGGCTAAGGTTACCGGACGTCATCTTGGGGTACCACTTCTCCAGTGGCTGATTTTAGGGATGTTGGGTGGCTTGACCGAACCCGTGAGATAAGCTACGGCTGGAAGGACATGCATGCCTTGCACGTGTCCTTGCCTCTACGGGGGCTCGACTTGTTCAAGCCAGGCATGCCCTCCCCGTGATATGTATTTTTTCCATACACGCATGACATTGAAGGTGATCGTCTCCTGTCGGAGACGTTATTCATTCATTTAGTGGCATGCCTCTTATTTTGTTTCAAATTAAATTTTAATGTATATCCTTTTTTCATGTATCTATGTATATTTTTTATTTTTTTTGTTTTGTACATTGTAGGCCACAGCATGAATTTTATTTTATTTTAGTTGTAATGTGTTTTTTAGGGTTACTGATGCGGGGCCTATGCGGCCCATGCCTTGTGGCTGGGTCGCTGGCCTCCATAGCTAGATCAACACCCTTCCCCCCCCCCCCCAAAGTGGCAAGGGGAGCAAAGGGGGACAAAAAGAAAGTGCTGCCCTCTGCCAGTGCATTGAATTATGTCCTGACCACTTTGTCCCCGTGTGTGGCTCTGATGGCTGCTCATATGACAACCACTGTCTCTTCCATCACCTCGCCTGTTTATCAGGAAGCACATCAAAGTTGTTCACAAAGGTCTGTGCAAGAAGAATAGGTAAAAGCAGCCAGAGAAGAAAGAAACCAGCCGTGTGCTACAGTAGCCAGCGTGCTCTTCTGATGGTGGTGGGGAAGCACAGGCAGGACACCTTTTCTAACCAGCCATGGCACGTTTGACATGATGTGTAGAGTGTCAATGTGTGGTCAATTCTTCAGATGTGATGCAGACAAGGACAATTATGTCAACTCCGATGAATTACTAAATTGCACCTCTGGTTCGTTCTTCTTGGCCCCTCCTGAGCAGGAAAATGAACTGACAAGGGCACTGTGTATAGATGCTATAGTAGATGTAGCAGACAACAATCATGACTTGCCACTAGATTTTGAAGAGTTTACAAGAATACTGAACCCAGACTTTCGGCCTGCTCATAAATTATGCTTGTTAGATGGAATGAAATACGACGATGGAGAAGACGTATGTTGATGGGAATCTATCTATCTATCTGTGCACAAGTGTGCGTGTGCACGTATGTGCACGTGCGTGCACGTGAAGTTGGGTCTACATGTTTCCAGATACATCAAAGGACAGGAACAGTGAAATTGGTAGTAAAGATTTTGACATACAATTACACTGATTTGGTGGAAGAAGATTATGATTTGTCTGTGGGGAAAATATTGAAGAATATTTGATTGAGGAGGAAGATGAATACCTGGAATAGCTTTTTGATGAGCTACTAGATAAACTAAGGAAGCACCGTAAGCAGGAGCACCACAACTGGCTGTAAAGAGAATAGCTTGGCAAAGGGTAGAAAGTTTGAGATACCTGAAAATTGTTAGTAATGAATTGTATTTTTAAGCAATAAATTTTAGGAAAAAAAAATTGCACATTTCAGTCAAACAAGAAATGCGTTTAGTAAATTATTCTATAGCAACCATAGCAACCAAGGCACAGACGCCTTAGGGACGCCACTTTGCACAGCAAGCACGGGAGCTGTGATTGGCTAAGGCCCTAGATGCGCGTCTCTGATTGGATAGTTTGAGGAGGACCAGGAAGCAGGCACCTTGCCGGCCGGGGCATTATGATGCAATTCTGTACCTAGCTACTGCCTGTGTTAAACTTAATCTTTGCAAAGTCGGCCTGCTAAGTAAAGGCGTCGTTGGCTGTAGCCTCTAGTACACTTTACATCTGCGTGATAACGAAGTGTGTGTGCAGGGAACGTAGCAGAATCCAGGAACTCGTCGTATTTGCATGTGATAAAGTATTTAACTGGAAATGAGAAGTGGGTAAACACACGAGCAGGTACCAACAGACTGTCATGTGCATCCCCATCTCCAGCCATCATCCGATCTCCTGCTAGTGTCTCACAGCAGTGGAGAGACCTGAGAATATCTTGCCAGTGTTCCGTGTGAGAAGATGGATTTTGGCCCACTTCTCAGCTAGCTTGCATTTATTAAATAGAAGAAAAAGATATTTTGCCTTAGAAAATTTCGGAGATGTGCCCAGGATGTGCACAAAAACCTATCTTCCTAGTTAGTGGAGATAGGTCGCAATTACATCTCATTCGAAAGGGAATACCTTCAGCATTCCAAACAATTACCTCTCGTTGATGTAGGTATTATCAGTGAATAGTTACAGGTTCTCTGAATTCTTTAAGATTGGCCCATGGCAACAGCGAGAAGGGGAGAGAGAAGGAACAGGTACTGTTTCAAGTGTCTAACGGTTCCCTGCTGGTGACGTGACGTCAGCCAGCCAGCTCCGCTGTGATTGGTTGCGGCACGAATGCGCCTTAGGCCCTCAGGGCCACTGATTGGTAGAGTGCTGCGAGTGCTGCATCATGGGAGCCGCTGCCTGTATTTCTCGCGCCAAAACGCTGTGAGCGTGAGATTCCCGCTCAAGGGCGGGCATTCTGTGAAGGCCGTGCTGTCAAGATGGGGGAAGCCAAGACCCTGGTTCCTCCCGTCCAATTAACGTTCAGCCAGCCATTTCACCATACCCCATCCACCCCCCCTCCCATTACAGTTACAGATGCCTACAGTGAGGGTGCACCACTAGTGGTAAAATCAACAAAGATACGTGAAGTCTCTGCCATTACATGTGTCACCCTCCACCACAGGTGCAATTGGACTATGTTCAAGTGATCGCGAGTTACTGGTTTCACCTTGAGCAATCCATCATTGCTCAGTAACTGAGAAATAAGAATCAAGTAATGATTCCATGTGTTTGAGCGAAGATCGTGGGTCAATATGAAGTTCTATGAAGTTCGCATAGCAGGGCAAGCAAAGACAAATCCTAGAGGGTTTTTTCAGTTATATCGTACTAAGACTAGGGAAAGGATAGGTCCATTAAAAACTGAGACAGGTCAAATAACAGATAGTGATGAAGAGATGAGTAGTATTTTTAATAAATATTTTGTATCTGTATTTACTAAAGAGGAACTTAACAATATGCCTTCAGCCGAACAAGTCTGTGGGTGGGGACGAGGACAGGTTGACGAGTTTAGCAGTTACCAGAGAGGATATTCTTAAACAAATAGTAAAACTCAAACCAAACAAATCCCCAGGGCCGGATGAAGTGTTTGCCAGGGTGCTTAAAGAATGCAAAGAGGAGCTTTGTGACCCACTGTCAACCATATTTAATAAATCAATAGAGTCAGGCAAAGTGCCAGAGTTTTGGAAAGTTGCTAATGTGATACCAGTTTTTAAGAAAGGAGATAGATCTCTTGCATCTAACTATTGACCAATTAGCCTAACGTCTATTGTGGGAAAGTTACTCGAATCTATAATAGCAAATAAAATTCGGCTTCATCTTGAAAAACATAACCCCCTCCCCGCTCAGCTCGTTGTCGCCGTGTGGGGGCTTCGTGGGCGGCTGTAGGTGTGTGATGCTCCTTGGGACAGTCCTCTGTCCTTTTCTATCCTTGTGCTCCTGCTACCGTCCTCTCCAATTCTGCTGGGCATCTTTTCCTTTTCCTTCTGTTTCGTTTTTCTCCCCCCTCTTCTATCTGCTTGCCGTTTCCTGCCGACCTTTTGCTCGTTCTGGTTCTTCCCTTGGACTACTTCTATTTTGACGCCCGGGTGCTTGAGGAGGCATACTCTTGCACCCGTAGAACTGTAGTACCCGACGTCGAGAGCGAGGGGAACCCTTTATTGTCAATCCCCCTTTCGTCACTGAACCCGATCTCGACGGACTGTCGGTTTCTTAAGGTGGCGTTTGTGGGGCGTATACTCACGACGCACCTCTAGGAGGCCCCGACAAGATCGGCGATAGCTTCTTGTTGGGTGTCCTGCCTCTAATTGTGGCTCCATGGTGGGTGTGGGGGCACATTCGTGAATGAATTCTTCTTTTCGTCAAGATGATAACCCCTGTTTCGGCTGCTTCTGGCTTACCTTCTCAGGCTCGTGGGGTGAGCGACCAAGCCCCCGAGTCGGTCCGTATTGGAAGACCGGGCTCTGTAGCCTCCGCTGCATTGGGCCCCGACCTTGCTCCTCCTTTGGCCTCTCTGACTCCTTCTTCTGGCTCCCCTCCCTCCTCTGTGGTTGGGTCGAGCCCCAAGCCCCCAGTGGTGACTACCTCGTCCCCTGGCGCGGCTCCTTCTCTAGTTGTAACTACTGCGCCTTTTAACCCCTCTCTCTCTGGGGGTTCTCACCGCCGTCCTCGTCACGGCCGCCCTCGCTCGATTCCTTCCAGTTCTGCTACCTATCAAGCCTTGTTTGGTCCCGCTTCGTGGGCCAAATATTTTGATCTCCTCCCTCTTGATTCTGCGCCTCCTGACGATTTCTCCCTCCATCGACATCTCATTGATTCCGTGGATACCTCCATTACTTTCAACCCCACTCGTCTCGGTACACGTGTCGTTGCTGCTCTTTCTCAGGATGCTGCTTCCCGCTTGGCTGCCTTATCCTGCCTTGGCGAGACCCCCGTTCGGGTCTCGAAGAACGCTCAGTTGAATGCCAGTGTTGGCACTATTTTGCTCCCGCCCCATGTTGCGACCGGTGTTCGGGACCTGCGCGACTGCCACGACGATATTCGACATATCCTCGCTGCCCAGGGCCATTCTATTCTCCAGGTAGACACGTTTACTCTTCCCCCTCGTGGTAGTCGCCGTCAACCCCTCAGGGGTTGTGAAGATTACCTTTGATGGTAGGACCCTTCCACCCTCTGTCATTCTTGCTGGTGCCAGGTGCTCTGTCCAGGAGTACATTCCTTCTCCTCGGCTCTGCAACAAGTGCTGGAGGTTTGGGCATGGTGCCCTCCGCTGCTCCGGGACTGTCTCTCTCTGTCCTTTGTGTGGTGGCGAAGGTCACTAAGTCGGAGTGCACTTCTCCCCAGGCTCGTTGCCTCAACTGCGGTGAGGCCCATCCTACCTTCTCCCGTGCGTGTGTCCATTACAAGCTTGAGGCAGCCGTCCTCAACCTGAAGCACCGGGAGCGTTTATCTTTTCCTGAGGCGAGGCGCCAGGTTCGCCGGCTCCCGCCTTATGCTAATATCTCTTATGCTCGCGTGTTGCGCTCTTCCTCTCCTCGTCCTTCCCGCCTTCCTCACTCACAACCGTTTCCGGGCCTTGGACCCTGATGCGCCCACTGCCCCCCCCCCCCTCTGTTCCTTTGGGTTCTCTCCCGAAGGATCCTCCTCCTGGTCCTCTGTCTGGGGTTCCCCTTCCTTCTACCCGGTCTGTCGTGTCTTCTGTGTCTTCTTCCTCGTCCCCCTCCGATTCTCCTTCCCATCCTCTTCCTCCATCTATCGGCTCTCCCTACCGCCTGTCGGTGCGGGCGGATGTCCATCGCTTTCCTAACGGCCGCCGTGTGTGCTCTCGTTCGGCTTCTGTTGAGACACTGGAATCCGTTGCCCGGTACGTAGTTGCTGGGACACCAGTCTCTCTAAGTCAGAAGCGTAAGCCTGGCTCCTCTCCTTCCTCTTCCCCGGCGGGTAAGAAGGCTTCGCTTTCTTCCTCAGCTCCTCCTTCTGGCTCTGTTGCTCCTTCCCCTCCCGTTTCAGTGCTTGCGCCCCCTGTTCCTGCTATGGAGGTTTCTTTGGCCCCTGCTTCCCTTTCGGTTGCTGCTCTTGCTGGGGTGCGCTCCCCTCTTTCTACTCCCCCTCTTCATGCTGCTGTCCTTGACTGCTCCTCTCCGTTGTCTCCTCCTCTTCCTCCTCCTCCTCCTCCTCCTCCTCCGGACCCTGCCCGCCCACCTCTGATCTGTTCTCCCGTTTCCTTCCCTCCGTCTTTGCTCAGTTTACCCATGCCCCCTAACCCTGACTTTGCTGACCCTGATATTCTTTAACGTGCTCTGTTGCTCTTTCGCCTTTGTTTCTTCCTTGTTCTCTGTTTTTGTCCTTTCTCTTCTCGTCGTTGTCCATTCTTCAATGGAACGTTCGAGGTTATTACGCCAATTTCCTCGAACTCCAACTTCTGATTTCGCGGTTTTCGCCCCTTTGTGTCTGTCTCCAGGAGCCAATGCTTGGTGCTCGTCCTGGTCGTTTTCGTG